CAGCTGCCACCTGATTGTCTCGACCTTCGATATGCCGGATATCACTTGTAAAATGTGGTATAGCCAATTTGTCGGACTTCTTGAGGAGGATATTTATCGGCTCTAGCTCTTAATACATTGGTTAGCGGTTTTTAATCCATATAAACTATAAATTCCCTGCCTTCTAACTTGTGTTGGAAATGTTTAACAATTAGATGGACTACAAGAAGCTCCCATCCAAAAGTAGAATTTCACGTCTATCTTGGAGTAAGTCACTTGGAAAAGAATTCACTGATTCCCAGGCATTTTTAACCAGTTGGTTAGGGATACCGCCTACTGCTTTGTCCGACGTATCCACCATCAAAGCGAGTGGGGAATGGGAATTCGGATGCGTCAGCGCAGATACTTGAGCTAGTTTATCTTTCAGCTGTTTAACAGCCTTAACAACCTCAGAAGTTCTCCTAAATTCGTCCAGATGTCTTTTAGGTGAATCTGTCAAAGGCTGCATCAATTGTGCACAATTGGATATGAATCTTTGAGAGAACTTCATTAAACCTAGAAAACCTCTATGTTGTGAAAGAGAACTTTGTGTGGGATATTGTCTGAGGGTGTTCACTTCTTTTTTTATCGATGCAATCCATTTTGGGCTTACTTTGCGCCCGAAAAATTCTAGAGTTTGAGCAATAAAAACACATTTACTTTGATGTATGTGTAGTCCATTTTCATTTAACCGTTTTAACACTTCTCTCATATGCTGTTCGTGTGATTCTAAGTCAGACTGGCGATTAACAAATCGTTTATATATCCCTAAGCGAATGCTATGTCCCGGAATAGGTTGTTTGAAAATCTTCAAAGTGTTTATGTTGCATTCCTCAGGCTGAATGTCATGCATGCCAACTCTAACGGTCCAAAAGGTGTAGTAACATATGTCCTAAGTAAACCTCCATCATCTACTGAGATTTTGTGATGTGCTCTGACCAAATCAATTTCAGTGAACATGTTCGTATTGTGTAAGTCGTTTGTAAAACCTTGGATCTGAGATATTAGGTACTTATTTGGCACGGTTTGACGGTTGAGGGATTTGTTATTCCCTAATGGTTTCCAATCGCCCTCATTTGCATTTGAGAATATATGCAAAGGAGTTGCCCACTGTCAAATCCGGCTGGAATGATTTAAAGCTAATCCGGAGCCGGTTTTCTGGGTCTAGCAACCACAGGTGCATCTTTGACTTTGATCACATGACTTACTATTGGAGTTTGTAATAAATTCACAGAGGTGCCTTTTGTATAACTCGAAGTTTTCTTCAGTTTCAAACGTCGTTTTTGGTTGTTGAATTGAAATTCATATCTCTCTGAAAACTCTATTCACAGCACTGTCATATCTAAATCGGCTACAGTGAACACTCAGTGGAATAGCTCCTTAAACCACAAATCTAGCATATAAGTTTTCTGCTCAAACGTGTTACTGGGGGTGTTTCTCGACGCACCTCAACTCTGTTCTAAAGAATGATACTAAGAGCAGCACCAGTATAAACCGAAACGTTTAAGCATGAATTTTGTTTCCTAAAATAAAACAAGCCACTGCTAGACACCCCGCCTCAGTCGTCGCAACCTGTGGAGAGATTATTAGTTTCCCAAATTCCTGATTTTGTTTAGGCTAGGCGCTTGGTTGACTACACTTGGTCGACTTTTCACCAGACTTCCAGTAAATCCAACAGAACTATCCAGATTGTCTGAATGTTTATGACCTGTTCTGTGACATGGATCTCGTTAATCGTGGTGACCCACTCTTATTTGCATGTTTGTGACGTCCTCTGAAAGTTTTCGCGTACGATGTATCGTACGTAAATCAGCTGATGGACCTCGCTCTATTATTCTATCTTCAGTACGCTCTGAGTGACATGAGATGTCAGGGTCTTGTACATGCAGATAGTGTTGGACACAACCTGAGAAAGCTTGTGTCCATCGTTGTTTGTTGGACTGCTTCGCCCACTGTGTTATCGCCCACTAAGACTTAAAGGTTACGCGAAAACGGTGATGGTGACTTATCTACTAAAAAGCCTTTGGATTCTTCCACCATCTGATAAAGATAAACGGTTAGTTATCTCTCATCTAAAGATGGCGCATGGTTGTATTGTTAGTGAATTTAAAATCAAGTCGCGGACTTCGTCGATTGAAAGAGGGAGGATAGGACATAAATCTCAATAAACAGCTCTAGTTGAGCAAACCACAACTCGGGGTCACTAGGATCAAATTCCGGGAGTTGGGTTTTCTTAATCATAAGTGTCTACCTCCGCCGGCGGCAAGTATTCCGGGCTTTTGTTTTGTAGTGAGTTTGATCAAAATGGGGTAAAATTATGAATACAACACAAATATCTTGCGATAAAAAACTATGCGTAAATGTATGTATCAAACCTCATTTAAGGATAATCAGAGGGCTTACTTTTACGATCAAATAGTAATGGTGAACACAGAACTGAAGTTTGTGTTCAATACAGGGCCCACCACTTTCATGCCTCTAGGTATCTCTCGTTCTCCTAATAGAAGAAACCAGACTAATAGTGGACGCCTTTATTTAGCTCGTGAGTGACACAGTGGAGGGCGAGGTTACTTGTTCAAACACACAAAGCTTTTCAACATTCAATATAAGATGATAAGAACTGAAATTTCCATACAACATAAGAAAGTGAATGAATACTTGAGCTCTATTTTTTAAACATATATTTAGGTATTTGAGATGGACTCTAACTAATCGACCCAAGTTGTTGCAGTGTCTTACAACAATAGGAAAACAGCACCTGATAACCTTCAGGACTCTTCGTGAGACGATTGTTTCTAATCGAGATAGTGTGTAGAATTATGGTGTACTATGATATTAGTACTGCTCTAATAATGATAAAATTGCATATTTGTCATGATGTAACTACCTAACCCATAAGATCTAACGTGGAAGTCACATCATCGTCTAAACCAACTCATCGCATCGTAACAATTACCTACATATGTCACAACACTCAAGAGTCACCATCCCTGCAAGGCCGAACCGTGCTGTCCGATCAATTCGAACTAATTTATTGCATTCTTTCCATCTTCTCCATCGTTGGGTTTTTCTCCGCGTTAAATGCTGAATATCTATCTTCCCAGTTGTCTCGTGTTCAGCTTTGAGGATTTTTTGGTTAGGACCCAATGCTACCACAAGTGAAATAGCCATGTTTTGGGTTGCACAACACTTTCAGCGATCTGTGAAAGGACGAGAATTCACTCTTTTCACCGATCGAAATCCTCTTATCTTCTCTTTGAGCTCATATTCAGACAAGCATTCTCCTCGAGTGTCTCGACAAGTGGACTACATTTCGCAGTTAACTTAAGATAAAATACACCTTTCTAAAGATAACAGCGTACTGGAAGAGGCCTTGTTTCACATGACGTCCCTGGACACTTTTTGAGGAATCAACCTTCTTAAATTTGCTTAGCTTCAAACAGAAGACACTGATCTTCAGCACAAGTTATCTTCGACAACCCTGAAACTACGTACCAAGCAGATGGAAACAGGTAAGGAAACTTTACTGTGTGATATATCTGCAGTTTGAGACCATTCAATCTTGTCGAAATATTATCGACACAATGTTTTCAATACGTGGCACAAGCTCTCTCATCCAGGTGTTCATGCAACCATCAAGCTCATAGCAGGACGATTTTGTTGGCCTAGTTTTAACAAAGGTGTGAGGGATTAGACACGCTTCGGGAAATCAAAAATGATTAGACATAACAAATGTCTTTTGTGCTCTATTAAAACCGTCGACTCTCGTTTTGACCATGTTTATCTCGATTTGGTTGGATCCTAACAAGATATGGCTGGACACTCCTACCTCTTAATGTGTAGGGACAGTACCGCATGATGGCCAGAAGTAGTAAAAATTAATGACATTACTACAGAAGGATGGTTAACAAACATCGACTGCCCTTCAACTATTACTATAGACCTGAACTTTTTCTTTGTCGTACTGCACTACTAGGAATCACAAAATTCCGAATGATCGCCTAGCAACTAAAAGCAGGCAGGTTGACAGAACGATCTCACCAACACTTAAAAGCTCTGATCTGCAAATGTTTGACAGTGTACTGACGCTCTTCTACTCAATTTGTCTAGTATTCACAATGCAGTGAAAGCTGACGTTGGATACACTGCAGCATAACTTAGTTACGGAACTACACTTCACCTTCCAGTAGACTTTGTGGATTCTTCATTTTATTCAGTGTTTATGGATGTAATTTCTCACACGAGCAGGCTTAAAAACTCCATAAGTCCAGTTAAGCCCATTTCCACTTCACCTCAGTCAACAGATGCTCTCATTCAAGCTATCTTATGACATAGTACGTCGTGATTCATTACGACAATCCCTGTGAATGGTAAACGAAAGATCCTTTAGAGTCCATCGTCGTAAACCTAAATACTATATCATTGATATAAACGGAAATAAAGATAACGTCATCATTGACCGTGGTAAAGTCCCGTGTATAGAAGGAGGCCTTAATAACGTTGATTTTCACCCAACGCACTCTGATGACGCAAGTCTGACAATCAATCACAAAGAAACCTCGTTGGTGTCTGAAAACCGAAACAAAAAATGAGCTCTGAAAAAAGAGTAAGTTTTCCAGAGCATTTAAACGATTACTGCACGTACGACACCACATAAAATTTTATTTCATATCGATTTTTCCATTGTTTTTGTTTCAGAAAATACGTTGTTTACAGATACTTAACTCCCATCCGTCTTCAATGACACGCACTGTTCAAGAACCGGTTCTCCAAAATTAGTTGTTCTGTACTCCTAACAAGCATTTATTTGCCAGAAGACTCCAAGTAACATCAGCGAATCCATATGTTTCTAACATTGTCAGATGTTCACACAAATATTGAAAAAAAATGCATACTCGTTGAAATGAACTTTAGATACGTAGATCTCCGAAAGCTTCTATACGGTACAATATCTGACTTTTCCGAAAGATATATGGCAGAATCAAATACAGTATGCTTAGTAAAACAATTTTACGAAGTTCGGCGTCTAATGTTCTTAAGTGAATAATTAAGCGATTTATTAAAGACGTTGCTATTATTTAGTTCAAATAGCAAATGCCTCTATGATATTCATTTTGTCCAATTAAAATCATGAAACGATTGTCTGACATATCGAACGAAATCACTTATTTCAAAGTTTGTTTTTATTTATTAATACTTCATTTCGTTTTATGGCAAAATCTTGAAAATTATTTCTCAGTATGTATTAGCGCTGTGATTTTCTGTATCATTATCGTCGACTGAAAAATCTCTCAAATGGGTGAAAATTTACATAAGAAGTCTGACTTGGAAGTTGAAAATGAAAATGTCGTTGTTGACTCAGTATTGATGCATAAAGCTACGCCAGAATATCTTCAAGAACTACTAAAAGACAAGAGGCAGCTGCAGAATTTCCCAAACATATTCTTACACTTAGAATTCATTTTGGAGAAAGGTAAATGCTTCGTTAATATATCTCATATGTTTAGCTTGAAGTTATCAGATTGTATCTTGTTTTAGGTGGTGCAGAGGTAATGTCAGACCTAACAGACTTACAGTATAGATTATAAAGCCGTACCTGCATCCTAACATTTATAAATTTATATTTATTTCCAGTCCCTTTGTATATGAATCGCTCATTCAACTGGCCTTATCTTCACACTTTGTTAATAAAACCACATGTTTCTTTAGCTTGTCGTTAATATTTAGTGAATTGTACTAATTTTGTTAAAATATTAAAATTGACATGTGAAATGTGTTGCTTAAATCAACAATAATACATCATTTGTGCTTCTAATTGGGATCTAATATAGTCTTTAACGTTACGTTGTGTATGTCTAAACTTTTGATCAGTACCATTTGTTTAAGACTATTGAAATACTAATCTAAAACCAAGCTTGATTTATGATAATGCACTTATTCTAATACATTCTGAGAGTATCACAGTAACATAATTATTATAGTTTTGATTTCCTTCAGTCGGTAGTGAGGGTTATCTCACCATAATAAAAGTTTATTTGAGTGTTTATCCAATACCTTTGTACATTATAAATTGTTTGATGTCACTTAAGATTATCGTTGTGTATTTTGCCATTGCAGAAATTACTCGCGTAAGGCAGAAGCTGTTTCATTTAAACGAATCAGTAAAGAAAACTGAAAACGAGCTTCCAGTACCCTCCGGAAATATTGTGTCATTGCAAGAGAAGGTATTTGTTCCTGTGAAAGAAAATCCCAATGTTGGTTGACTTCATTTGCCTAAATAATCCTAATATTTTAGTATAACTTTGTTGGACGCCTCCTTGGTCCAAGAGGATTGACTGCAAAACAGCTTGAACAAGATTTGGAGTGTAAAATCATGGTGAGAGGTAAAGGATCACTTAGAGACAAAAGAAAGGTAAAACGTGACGAATTAAAAATAATATGTCGAAATTTCGTTATCACTTATACATCGCATAGTACAAATTGTGCAGACTTAATAAAGTTTTAGTCTTATTACTATGAACGTTTCGTCATGATGATTAGAATTTCGTCTTATGGTAAAATGGATGGTTTTATATGATTCTCTTTAACTAATAATTGACTATTCTACGGATACATTTTTAACATGTTGCTGAAGTAAATCACTTTTAAATAGTTTTAGAAGATGTTAGTAAGAAACTAAGTTTTTATAGATGGATAAATAATATTTTGATATCTTGATCTGATATATTTTTATCGTTTGTACGTACGTATACATAGTAAAATTACTGGTGTTTTTGTGTACGTAAACTAATGTCATCACATTCGAAAAAATGTCTTTTTGGAAGGGATGTTACCGGTACCTAGTGATCACTTCATAGTGGAACTTAAAGAAGACACCACAGTAGGTAGTATCACACAGATCGATGAAGTACAAATATTAACCACTTAGTCAAGCGAAAAGAAATCAGATAGACAACGTTACTTTTTTTTGCAAGCTACATTGTAATATGTTTTGAAGATTGAAACCAGTTATCTGTGGTTGAAATTTTAAGCGTTTAAAAATTTTGCTTTTTAGTCTTAACTGACGAAAAATTGTCAAGTAAATATTGACAATAACATGATAGCTTCAATATTCCTATTCACTAGCTGTCCTATACATCAATTACATTCTTGATTGAAATTCATTCTTTCTGTTAATTCACCAACCACATACTATGGTAGTTTAAAACATAAAGCACGTGTACAGCCGTAGGTTTTATAAGAAATAATGATGTCTCATGACGGATTAAAATTTCCTTACGGACTTAGAATGCCACTTTGAGGAGTTATTGCACGTGTTTGACTATATAGTGCATCTTCAATTTGTTTTTTTAATGTTGCCATGTTAACCTATAAAGTAGATCATAGCAGAATTCTAAACATCTTGTGTCAGAATTATTTGTTATGTTTGATGTATTCTTTTGCGTTGGTTAAATTACCTATGTTCATATCGCCAATCATCATTTTATTAGTGTAATCTCTAAGAAAAAGATTCTAATTCACAAGACTGCCCATCAATGGTCTTCAATTTGGTTGTACACCTGTATTTTGTCCACACAGATTATTATCGAGTTTTATGTTGTTTTTGGAGTGCCAAGCCATTTCGGCAGCAAAGTTTTATTTCAATTTCAATGTAATGGTGTTGATGTTTACTTACTGAAGATATCGATTTCGTAATGACTCAGTTGTTCAACCAGATTTCAAAATTATCGACGTTTTTATTTTACTTTTACTAAACAGAATCCTTTTAGAATTTATAACCTGAGTAACATGTCCCAAATAACAATTCAATAGATGTTTTATGTTCTCTACATGTAAATATATCAATACAAAATATTCCTATAGGAGGATTCAAACAAAGGGAAACCAAACTGGGAACACCTCGATGAGGAGTTGCATGTTCTGGTGAGCGTCGAAGATTTTGAAAGTCGTGCGGCAATTAAGCTGAGAAGAGCGTCTGAAACCATTCGTGCATTTCTTGAGCAAGGAGTGAGGACGGTAAGTAGAAATTTTAGCTCTATAGGACCTAAAACGTTCTGTAAAGACATGCTTTTAAATGTTGCTTTGGAAATCAAAGCAACCATATTTCGCGACCCTTTCAGAATTCAGTTGTCAAAAATGGTCTGCTAGATCACGAATTAATAATTCCGTTATCATCATAACAATTTAGTCTCCTTGAAAAACTAGTCAGAGATGTTCTTTTATTTTTGTGCGTAACTAAAATGAGTTTTGAGTTAAAGAAGGATTTCGGAACACAAAAATAATTTTGATGTGGCAAAAACTCGTATAAACAATTTGCGAGTAATTTTAAATTTGAGAATGAGCTCGAAGAAAAGCATTTCGAGAAAAAAATCGAAACTTACTAATTTATAGCACTAAAACTGAGGGCAGGTTACTCAATATTTACTAAACGTTCTTAGTGAGTTTAATTCACTTTTTGAAGGACGGGAATAATGACACTTGTTTAGTGTAAGAATCTATTCGTCTTGTCGATATTTTTTGATAATTTATTTCATATCAGATGCGTATAAAACAACTATAAGGGGTATCAGTTTTGCACTGTGATCCGTTGAATATAACCCTAAGTTATTGCGTAATCGATTAAATAAAGTACTTAGGTAAAAAATACCACTTCAGTTTGCCTAGATGGAATCAATAAATGTACTGTGCTTCATAAATATCTCAAAAACAATCTACTATAAATAGGTAGTTAGTACTAGAAACAAGTTTGTGCACTATGCACGCATATTATCAAAAGTAGTCGAATGAGCGATTCTAAGTATATGTAGCTACAAAATTTCTAATCCTAATAATAACAAATGTTTATAATCCGTTACTTTACTTTATTTTACAGTTTTCTTGCGTTTTTAAAAAAACGCAGCCGTAACTACTCAAAATTCTTGATAGTTTGTTAACTATTTGGGAATAAGTTTGCAACCTTAAAACGGGTTAGTATCTTAACCATTAAAAGCATATCAACGACACTTAATTGATTGTTACACTCTCATATGAATTGTTCGGATTGGGTTTTGAATGGTAGATTTTTAACTTAGGGAAGCTATAGTTTATCGGGGCGATGGGTTATTATTAGGAAAGCAATTTAAAATTTTTCAATACGATCGTTTTGTTTCGTACTTTCAGCCATAATTAAGTAACTGACTGTATTCGACCTTATGATGTCACAAACCATACTTTTATTTGCATCCTATCATTTAGAACCAAATTTTGTTGTTTTCGAGTCAGCAATGAACCATTAATTCACATAAAGTTTTCTTCATATGAGTTCTAAGGTTTATCAATTCTCTGGTACGAAATAATACAGTTGTATAAACTAAGAGATGCTTTGCATCAAGCAATTTTTAAGAATAAATATGATATAAATTTAAATATCAAAGTATTTTTGTTGATAGGTATCAATATCAAGGTTATACTTGATGGTTTTAAATAAATTGAGCATTAGGTAGAGAGCTAATAATAAACAGCTTTTATGTTCCAATAAGTAGAAAAATTGTATTTCTGAGGTTTCGGGACTTATTACAAGCTACTTCTTAAGATTAAGTAAGACAAATTTACTCTGAAGAAGTGGCTTACTTTAGGTCACGAAACGTCAGAAGCACGATTTTTGTTTATTTTTTAAGTGTTTTATGTTGTCATTTACTCATAAAGTTGGAAGGTCTTGAATCTCATCATTACGTACTTATGGAATTTAGATTAAGATCGGTTATGATAGCGTGCTTTTGTACATTGTTAATATTTTTATAGGTCCCGAGTTAATTGTCATTCCGTACAGTTCATACTTTAATCTCGTTCATTCTTTCTGAAATACATTTTTTAGGCTTAGGCTTTTGGTAGAGGCAAACTTATTATTTTTGTTACATAAGATCACTTAAAAATGTCATCGGTTGATTTTAGAGATCTGAAAAATCCATTTTAGTAATAATTAGTAATCGAAACAACTTTCAAGCTTTGTTTTAGTTATTTACCAAAACACATTATTTGAAACGCACACTACATAGTTTAGAGTTGGAAGAATAATGAGTTATATTAAGTATTGAATAAATGTCCTAATGTTGGGTATGGTATTGGTGGTATAGATAAACATCAATAGAAACGTATTATTTTTTTAGATTATCTTGGTTTACATCTAAATGAAAGTTGTTTCCAGTAAAAAATTGATCATATCCATAACCTATTTTCTATCAATATCTTAACATGTTTAAACTGATTTTTTGGTATTTTTTTATTGTACTTGTTTTTGCGCACATGAAATTTTTGTTTGGTGTGACAAGTTAGTGATCTACTTGTTTTGGCTTCATTATAAAACCCGAAAGTTCAAAGAAATTTAGATTATTACTGGTAAATAATTAAGAAATATAATCCATTAGGAATAAACGTAAATTATATGTAATTATTTCCAGTTACATATATTATTATGATGTCTTAAATCCCGCGCTTTTGAGTTATATTTCTGTCCACGGTTGTTCCTGTTGGAACCTAACAATTTTAACTCTCCAGCAGTGCGCATCCACGATCCCATCCGCGGAATTCGAGACCAGGACTCAGGATGCGCACTGCTGAGGAGTCCCGTGCTAAGACTTATGCGACTATTAAATTACTAAGAAATCTCCACAAAATCCCCTTCTGATAATAATTCTAACTCTTTTCACCTGGGCAATGTCTTCATTTATGGTGACTGTCAGTTTGTGGATTTTTTGTGCTCTACTGAAAATTGTACTTTTAGCTCCCTATTTTATGTGAAACTAGAAGAATACTGGACTCTCCTAAGTCATGTCGACAACAAGTACTGTTTTAAAGTGTAAGTTTTGTTTGTTACTATTTTACTAGCTTCATTGTAGATAAATATCTGTTAAAAGCTGTCTCGAGATTTAATAATAATATGCGGATACCGACCGGGCTTTCTAATTGTACTAGCTTTTGTATCGTCCGAGGCTCGGACCAAGGCCTTCTGTTATTTGACAATAATGATCATAGTTGATCTTCAACCCTGATAGATATAATATGACATCGAGGATTCAGATCAGTATTATTTGCTGCTTCACTTACTGAAATGAAACATATTTTTAAAATTTAAACATACACTTAGTTGATCGACGCTTATGACTAAAATTACCCAGATTCACTTCACCTTAAGAATAACTGCCGATCATCAAAGAAATACTGCCATAATGATGAGTTAAGTGGTCAAGTGACCACATTGTGAAAATGATCAATAGAATTCGACTAACATCAACACAACATTGACCATAAATAAGAGTCAGTGAGTATCCATACGCAGGAACTAGTCTGCTGGAATAAGTTTATAATATACTGATCACTTTCATTGACTCTTAAAGCTAACATATTTAAAAAATTTCACCTATTTTCAACGACAGATTTATAAAAACTGTGAATGAAATCGTTGTCAGTGTAACTCATTTTTGTAACTAATTAATTTAGTACCATCTCTCGTTTTTTTAAGCAAGTGATTATGTTTAGTTATTTCATATCATTCACCTATAAATGTTGTCTGTTAATGTAATTCAACACTGTTTTTCTCCATTGTTACTATCGCTAATGCTGCTGTTGTTTTTCAAGTATTGTAAAGTAATAAGCTAATCACTAAATTTTTTTAATTATTTAGTTTATGATAACAACTCATTGCACACAAATGGATTAATATAAACTGTAAATATCTTTGAAGTTAATTATTATTTATTGAATATTTCACTATCAAATAATGAATATAAGTGAATGTTTCACAATGAGAAAAATGTTCTCATTGGATTAAATTATGTTAATCATCGAATTTAAAATGTTTTATAGAATTTGTCATTTACTAATCTATTAAAAAGTAGTTAATTGACATCATAAACAAAACATTTACTGCTAATACTACAGTTAAAAGCACACAATGAGTATAATAATACATTGTACATCGATTTTCATAATTTCTTCTTAGAACTAACTACTCACATTTCTCAGTGGTTTTTTTAAAAAAAATTTATTATTTAGAGTTCACTAATTCTATATTTTTCATTTGTTTACTATTGTTCATTTTTTTATTCACTAACAATCGATAAATCGACAACTGTGTAGTGAAGAAGATACTATATATATATATATATATATATATATATATATATATATATATATATATATATATATATATTATTGATTTAAATCTAGTTTATTCAATAAAAGTAGCATTGATTTTGAGCGTGATAAGCTTAATATTGATATTTTATTTTATTAATAGGCTAATAATAGTGACAATCAAATCAATTATTTCTTATTTTTTAAAATTAATAATCACCACGTAGAGGACTTTATAAATATATAAGCTAAAAAAGGACTTTTTTCAATTGATTATCTGGTTTACATAAGTTCATAACTGAACTATGAAAAAGAATGATATTAAGATTGTGATAGATGTGCCAAGTCTATTGGAATTAAGTTTCATTATAGGAGAGTAATTATTGGATGAATATGAATATGAGCTGTATTAATGATCACCAAAAAAATGCAAATTTGTCTGTATAATTTTGTGTTGTCAGATGTCATGGATTCCTAGAATTAGTTAATTGCTTATTGTTATCATCTGTTTTCCGTACATTCTAGTAAATGTATTGCTTTCTCATATCGAATGAATACTGACGATTATTCTATGAATTTTCTTAGAAATAAGAAAATATTCGTTCTGTCAAAAGGTATAGATATTTTATGTGTATGTGGATTAAAGTCGGTACATATTTCGTACACGCAGAAGATTTTTGAAGGATCATTAAGCAAGTTAAACTATCAAGTCCAAGCTATTTTTATTGATTTCTTTGCGATTTTTCAGTAACAAATTATGTGCTTATCTAATTTTACATATCTAAAGTATACGATTTCACTTTTATGGAAACAAAACATGACACTGGAAATTCATTTGAACATTACTGATACTTTCTGTCACTCGTACTGTTTAGACCCAATTAATATTGTACACCTGAAATATT